CTACCCTGACATGAACTGTGAGAATGACTCTGCATTAAGTGGGAGATCAAACAGGTTCCTGACGAGCCTAGCTGACTATTTTTGTCATCCAAAAGGTAGAGGAAGGAACTAGAACAGACATGTCAAACACAAGGCCCGGGGGCCGGATGCGGCCAACGAAGTGGTTTCATGTGGCCTGTGAAGCCATCCTGGAAACAGTGAGGGAATGGCCCCCGCTGCCTTGGCCTTGGCCCAGGCCGGCCGAGAGCCAATGTACAATTTTGTGGTGGCCATCTATGCCGAAACGCATTCAGTCTTAGCTCCACAAGGCCATCCAGAAACAGCAAGGAACCAGCCCCTGCTGTGTCGGCTCCGCCTCCTGGGTGCATGCTGGGGAAGTGTCACCCTCTGTGAGGAATGAAGAAAGCACCATGCCTTGGCGCTTGCCCTGGTCCCATCCCCTTCGTCAGAGACCCTCAGATCTGTCCCACTCCTGCTCAGGCCCCCACAGACACCCTTGATGCGAACAATGTAGAACTGGCGATGCCCACCCAGTAGGCCACACCCACTCCATCCATGCCCACCCTGGCCACACCCACCTGGCCCCCCAAGGGCAACCGCAATGCTGATGTGGCCCTCAATGAAATTGAGTTTGACACCCCTGAACTAGAAGGTCAGTTATATTGGACTTAATTCTTACAAACAGAGAAGAACTAGAGGGGGTTGAAGTTGCACAAATTGTGGAGAGATTGACCCTGTCATATTGGAATTCAATATAATGCATACACAAGCAATAGAACATAATCCAGCCAGTGTCTTAAACTTTAAAAGAGCTGATTTCAACAATCTTAGAGAGAGCTTGCAAAGGATTCCATGGATGAAAATCTTAAAGGGACAAACAATTCAAGAAGCTTGGGAAATTCTGAAAAATGTGATTATACAACTCCAGTCTACCGCAATACTGCTGAAAAAGAAAAATAAGAAATCCAAGAAGAAACCAGCATGGTTACATAAAGAACTCTCTGATAAACTGAAAAACGAAAAGGACAAGTACAAAAAATGGAAAGAGGGACACATATCTAAAGCAGAATATCAGCAGATACCTGAATCTGCAAAGAGGAAATGAGGAAAGCTAAGGCTCAGAATGAACTAAGACTTGAAACAAATGTCAAAATACTAATAAAAGCTTCTTTCAACATATTAAAAAACAAAAAAAATTCAAGGAAACAATTGGTCCACTAATGGGAGAAGATGGCAAGGAAGTGACAGGCAGCAGGGAGAAAGCAGAGCTACTTAATTCATTATTTGCATCTACCTACCCTACCTAGCCAAAACAGAACTGTTAAAGACAGACTAGGAATACAAGTTAAAATAGGCAAGAAAATGGTAGGTGTCTGGTCCCTGTCAGAACGCTGCCATTCAGAGTGGAGGAGGGATGGATACTTGGGAATTAAAACAGTTATTGCTTTCACTTTGATGTATCTGCATGGGAATTAGGGAGGGGGGACTGGGCCATCAGGGCCATCTGAATGGACTCCTTTCCAGCAGTTCCCACCTCTTACCAAAGTCACAGCACCAGAGAATGACTTGTTATTACCTTCTTATCTCAGAGTTTTCACCAGCAGATTGGCTCCTGATGCACTGGGGCATTGGAGTGGGGTTGGAACAATGGGAAATTAGCTTAATGTTTTGCACGGGAACTTCAGATTCCACCGGGCTTCTCTGCAATCACTTTCTCTCAGTAAAAGATCCTTTTGGAATAACACTTGTTTCAAGAGTCACGCTTTCCTGAGAAGATAGCTGAGGCAGGACCTTACAGTAAGACAACACTATTCACTCTAGACAATTTCAAACCTCCAGGACCAGATGGATTACATCCCAGAGTTCTGAAGGAATTGGCAGACATGAACTCAGAATCACTGAACAAATCCTGGAATAATAGGAAACTATCAGAGGACTGAAAAAGAGCTGATGTCATTCCTGTCTTCAGAAAAAGGGGGGGGAAATGGATCCAGGAAACTACAGACCAATCAGCCTGACATCAATACCTGGGAAGATACTGGAAAAGGTAATCAAGCAACAGATCTGCAAACACCTACAAGCAACCAGAAACCAAAATGGGTTTGTCAAATCAAATCAAATCATGTCAAAAAAGCTTATTTTATTCTTTGACAAAGTGACTAAACTAGTAGACCAGTGAAAGAGACTGGACCTCCTTTTGTCTACAATGATATAGGACAGTGATGGCGAACCTTTTAGAGACCGAGTGCCCAAACTGCAACCCAAAACCCACTTATGTATCGTCAGGTGCTGGGTGGGTGTGGCCCATTGGGTGGGTGTGGCTGTGGTGGTAACAGCAGACTGGGTGGGACTAAAAAGTTCAATCAATAAATTCCAACTTTGCAAGATCTTTTTTTTCCCATGAGAAGTTGAAATTGATTGATTGATTGAAACTTTTTTTTTTTTTTGCACATGGCGGCGGAGGCCTAAAGCAAAAAGGTTTTGTAAAACCCAGCTGAAGGACTAGGACTGGGGCGACGGCATGTGTGCCCATAGAGAGGGCTCTGAGTGCCGCCTCTGGCACCCGTGCCCTAGATTCGCCACCACTGGTATAGGATCTCCTACTTGGGTGGGAGGTTGGACTGGAGAACCTCAGGGGTTCCTTCCAACTCTTTTATTCTGTTCTGTTATTCTTTCTATGATCATGTATATCAAGTTCCCTTCCAATCCTATTGTTCTGTGTTCTGTATTCTATGTTCCGTTAGCTTCACTATAGCATCCACAGGAAGACTGTCCTTATTTTTCTCCTGCTTCCTTTTGGATTACTGGCTTCCTCAAGAAATTCTATCAGCCTGCCCCACATTGCAGCCAAGAGAGAAGGTGAAGGGGTCTTGGCTTCTGTTGGAGGAGCTTCACTCCTTGCTCTGAGCCAGACAATCGCAGCCAAGGGGCAAAATTCAACACGAAGAAACCACACCATCTGATCATGGAATTTTACTACTTCTGATCTAGATCCTGTTCTAAGGACAGGGATAATGTCTCTCTTCTTGAGTTTCCTTCTTCTGTTCCTGCTGCTCTGGCACGTTGCTTTTGCTTTCTCTAGACTGTTGCTTTGAAAGTCAAATCAATGTTCTACTTTGCCAAGACCTGCTAATAGTTATATTCTATTAGCATCTGTTTAGGGACAGACGAGGAAAACCCTTCTTTCGGTGATCATTTGCCAAAAGGTTTGTGCATATGCAGACTTATTTTTCTGGAGGATGTCGGGTGGTTTTAAGAATAAGATGAAAAATAAAAAAAGATTGAATCAAAAACTTCAAAGTGCTTTTGAGAGTGTAGTGCATTTGAGTGAAAGTAGCAATGAAATTTTTCAAAGACAAATGTGAATGGTCAAATATAAAGGTGTAAAATCCTGGATTCCCTATCTGGCAATCACATTTCCAGGAAGGATCTTGGACTTGTAGTTGATCACAAGCAGAATGTCAACAGTGCAGTGGGGCTGCAGACAAGACCAGTGCAGTTGAAGGTTGCCCCAAATACGGGATGTAATTGCTTCACTTGGTTCTGCTTTAACTACACCCCCTTTTAAGCGCTGAGTCCTGTTGGGGGCACCAGACTAACAAAATTCAGAAACTGGAACAGACGCAACAAAAGGTTGCAAGGGTGATGAGCAAACTAGCAATTAAAGTCTTGCAAGGGAAGACTGAGGAACCGGGTATGTGTACCTTGAGGCTATGATAGTCCTGTTTCAGTACCCAAGGAAGCTCTCCAGAGACGAAGGCCAGGTCTTGTTCTGTATCACTCAAAATGCAGGCAGCATAATGACTTCGGAAAGAACGGTGGGATTCCCTGGGGTGGGAGCAGGACATCCATCTATCTGGGGTGCTTTAGTTTGGACTCATGCACTGAGAAGAGAGTTGGCTCGGTGAAGGCACAGTTGAAAGATTTGCAAAGAAAAGGGAACGGGGAAATCACCCATGGTTCTCCTGACTTTCCCTGAAGCATAGAAATCTGTTCCTGGATATGCTGAGGACTGAAAGATTGCTCGGCCACTTAGCATCAATCTGATGAAAAAGTGTCTTCCGTGTGAAGATCAATCCACCTGCTCCTTTTTCCTGGGAAAAGATGCCTGGGTCCCATCCTTTCCAATCTCTGGGTGGCACTCTGGATGGGACTAACTTTGAAATATATTAGCAAATTTCTGGTGATAAAGATTGGTGTCTGCCATTATCATTATTCATACGGTGGGGTTCAGTGTTAGCACGTAGCAGATTTGCTGATGATTCCTTTAAAAAAATTCTAAACAAAAATACAGTAACCATAAATAGTACAATAACCTGGTTAAGAAGAAGACAACAACAATGAAACCGAATATTAATAATATCCCTTTAGTATTCTTCCCTCTCGTTAACGTATTAATCTGGCATAAAACAATTATAGTTCCCCTGGGTGGTATAAGATACAAACTCAGACTGTAAATTTGAGAAGGCTTTAACTTTGACCAGAATGCAGCTGAAGGGTGAGGTCAGTTTCCCAGCTCTGGCCATGCGCCAGGCATTTGGGGGCCAGAGCGCTAATGTCTTTGCTCTCTTTTTCCAGTACTGTGGACATTCTAGTGGCAAGTTCACAGAAATACTATCGATTTTTAGAATAAATGTTTGCATTTATGTGCTACTAAAACTCTCACTGTGTTTATCTGTTTGTTTGTACTCTCAAGTTAGCCCAAACAGTACATTCTATCGCAGCAAATTTTGAATTGGCGTACCTAAAATCTGCTACCTTAAAGAATGGCTGTGTGGTCCTCAGTCATCCTGAGGTGGTTACAGCAGAGTGTCTCCATTCTGGCCCAGCCTTAGTGCTCCCTCCACTGTTGAGCCTCTGACCAGGAAGCTTTCTAGAAAGTTTGGATTAATTTTGACCCCTGAGGAAAACGATGATAGTTAGAATGATGGTGGTTGCTTTTCCTGATTTGTTGTTTTCCGCCCATTGTGCTCCTTCATTGCCCTTTTTTCTTATTCCAGGTTAATACTGATTTTGATTGGATTTGATTAGAGCAAAAAGGAGGCCATAATTTAAAATATAAATCATAAAGGTAAGGTCAGTGGACCTGGATGCAAAGGGTTTGATCAAGTCCTCGGGCTTTTCCCCGTGAAAACATCAGGGCCTGCAGTCCAAATGCACTCGGAAGTGATGCTTTCAGCTGGCTGGGAAGGACAGCCACCTTCTCTCCCGTGGGGCTTCAAAAGCCTTTGCTGGCACAAGATGAAAAGACCTGGCAGTGACGCCTTTGAGTGCCTTGAAGCTTCTGGCTCTGGAGGGCAAGAGGCCCATGAGCTGGCATCTCTTGTGGGGGGAGGGGCATAAATCCAGCCCCACCCGTGGGGATGAGCCTGCTTCTCTCAAGTCTGTGTGTGTGTGTGTGTGTGTGTGTGTGTGTAGAGCCTTGCATGCTTCCTTGATCCCCAGCTGTTTGCGTGTCAAGTGACAATGGCCTAAAACAAGGGCTGCTTGTTTTTAAATAGCATGACCAACCTCATGAATGCCGCTGGGGCTGAACAAGCCGAGCGAAACGGATCTCTGTTTTGCCTTGCAGGAGGCTCATGACTCTGAACTCGATGAAGCTGGAAGTCCACTTTCAGCAGAAACAGGTAAGATGCGGTGTGGGGTACAAGGGCTGGGGGGGGGGGGCTGAGAATGCCATCCATGTCCTGGTAAAAGTTGGACCCAGGTCTAGTCCAAAGGGGAGCAGGCTGGTGATCCTTGCCACCACCATCCCCTGGCTGCCCCCCCCCGGGTCCTGTCCAGATGCCCTTTGAGCTGACACAAAGACTTCCCTAGGGGATCCCCTGGGGAGCTCAGCTGGACAGTCCCGGCCAGACAGTCCTGGACAGACCCTGGGAAAGAGGTCCCGGGGTGGAGAAAGGCCAGGCCCTGTGGGAAGCGCTGGACCTCAGATGCAGAAACTAAAGCTGTAGTTGCTTAGGTAACTTACATCGTGCCTTTTCACTAGCAAATATAGTTCTGTGTACACATTTTTTACTTAATTTTGCCTGAATCAATCACTTTCCTGAGATTGCACACTACAGTACATTGAAACAAACATGGTGGGGACCATGACTCAAATCCCTTCTAATTAAAGTTAGTGCTAACCAAGTATAATATTCAAATGAATTTTAGCTTTGTCTTTAACTATCCAGGTTAAGCGGGCTATGTAAATACAGCAAGTGTGGCAAACAGTTAATGAAATTGTCAAGTCAAAAGAAGCCAGAAAGCTTGAGCTAACATAAAATTCATCTAGGAAAAGGAGCAACCAGTGAGAACAAAACCATCAAAGCAAGAGACAGAAGGGAACAGAACGTAGAATAACAGGATTGGAAGGGACCTTGTGAGTGTTTTAGTTTGAAGCACAATTGGGGATCAACCATCTTTCTAGACACCTCTCCCAATTTGAGGATTGCCAAATTCTCACAAGATTTCTGTATTTTTAATTTGTAGTTTTGTAGCCTCCATGTTGCCAGAAAAGTACATGAAGATCCAACATCTGTCTTTGTTCTAAATTATGATCCAGAAGTTTTGAGATCACTTTTATGGGAAGAGAACTAAAATGGATATAAATAATTAAAATATCTGTCTTTTCCCCTTTCAAAAGCATCACCAATTTAGCTGGACTTTCCGTAATGACCCTGAAGGTTCTCTTGCCCTTAGGCTTTGAATGAATGGCAAGGGATGGGCTGGGCAATCCAGTGTAAACTCTTCTGGATTAGTTCTTTGGATCAATTGGAGGTCATAAAATGATACTTCTGACGATGCAAAGAGGACGCAGTTCCTTTAGAGCCAGTCTTTTCCCACCTAGCTGTCCAATGACTCCGATTTCTATGCTTGATCTAGAATGAAGACTTGGATGATGAAGACTTCTGCACTCTTGGTGGACGATGGGCCTCTCAGAGCAACAGCGAAAGGTGGCTCCAGACTGACTCACAGGAACACCTTGGAGAGAGCTGGCAGAGCAGCTCCACCATGAGGAGGTTTTCCAGCCAGGAAAGTGTCCTCACAGACCTCAGTGCTGACTTGGAGGCGATTTCACTCCACAGCACCAGCAGCACCGGTGGGGCCTTCGCTCTCGGGGCTGGGGTGCCCCGTTCGTCCTCCACACAGAACTCTCCAACCTCCCCCAGCCCTCGTGGAGGCTTGAGTAGTCATTCGCCAGCAGCCCTGTCTTCAGATGGAAACAGCAGGGAAAAACCCAAGAACTGTCAGACGCGGAGTTTCCTCAAAAGAATCGAATCTCTGAGAAGGAAGGACAAGGAGAAATTGGACTCCGCTAAAGCTCCAGACAGGGACGGAACTCACATCGCGCCTAGTTGGAGCTCCCCAAAGGACGCCAAGGCCCCTGCCTCTGGGACGCAGGTTGCGGGAGGAAACGAAAAGTCACATTCTTTCTACAGCACTAAGACCCCTTCAACAGGTGGTTGGACTAACCAGGCTCTGGCCTCAGTTAAAGACAAGCTGCCCCATGAGCCCAAGTATGGTAGTATTTATTTAGAGGATTATGAAAGCAGTCTGAACAAGAACTGGGATGCCAGAACGTGGGATCACCAGATTGCATCTAAAAGAGATTATTTATTCCACATCCCAGGGGATCACAAGCCAGGCACTTTCCCCAAATCCCTCTCCCTCGAAAGCTTGTGTCCTTTGGAGAGTGGCTGCTGGGCAGACTGGAAATCAACCCCCAGAGCCTCCAGGTCTTTGGCAGGCGGCACTGGCGTCAGCAGTGGCGTCCGCGGGAGCAACTCTCCTGGTGCCCTGGAACACCAGCCAAGGAGGCCTTCAAGCACTTTCACAGGTAGCCGCACCAGCCTCTATGATAATATTCCTGACTTTGGCAGTGGAGACGATCTCTTTGATCTGGATCAGGAAAAGATCTATGAAAACCTGGATGACATCCTGCAGCACGTTTGGGGACTCCAGCAGAAAATAGAGCTCTGGTCAAAGGCAGTTAAGTTTGACACGGAAGATGAAACTACTGGGGTGGAGGAAAGGGAGGACACAGATTCTGGCGAGGAGCCCACCCATCTGAACGTGGAGAACCGCTCCATCTCTGACATGGGCACTTCCACCAGCGACTTCGAGAGCACGGCCAACTCCCTGAATGAGACTGAGGATCCAGAAATGAGGGAGCGCAGAGACTCTGGCGTGGGGGCCTCGCTTACAAGGCCTTGCAGGTAAGTCTGGGAAGAGTTTGGAAGCAACTTTTTGGGGGTGTTTAGGAATCACATGAGCCTCCTCTCTCTCCCTAGGAAACTCCATCTGATTGCTGCTCAGGGTTGTGATGGAGTTGTGTAGCCTATGCGTTTAATAAAGAGCAATAATAATTTCAGATTTTTGCTCTTCCAGTCCCCCTACGTAAAGATGGAAATACTGTCCAGGTCTACCTGGTCACTGTTCAGAATTGGGATTGGAGCCCCTCGCTCTCATTCAGTGGCCATGGATGATGATGCCCCAGTGCTGTCTTTGGAGGGATTCTTCTCTCCAGTTTGTTCTGCAAATACTCGCAGGATATACTGTCTACTGTCAGGACAGAAATTGTAGTCTTGGATACTGTAAGAAATTCCACAAATTTCTTTAGGGTGAAGTTGAGATTTGGCAATGTGTTTAGTATTGCATGTAAAAAGAAAACTACTATCTACAGTTCAGTGTCATGAAAGATCAGACGTAGACTTTAAGAATTTCATGGGGTTTAAATCATTTTGCAAAATTATTTACAATGATGCTTAATTATTTATTGATGGATTAGAGTTTTGTCCCAGTCTGAAGGCAGATTGAATAAATGTCCCTTATAATTTTATCCCAGCAACATCCCTGTGAGGTAGGCTGTGCCAAGAGAGAGCAATAGCTGCCATGGCACCAAAGGCACTCCCCGGTCTAAGGTCAACCTTTACCCACTGCACAATGCCTCGCTTGGCAGCATTTCAGGCTGGAGTTGGGTGCTTGTGGGGACCTAAGACTAGGAAAAGTGTGGCATTTCTGGATCCAGTGTGGCATTTCTGGACTTTGAATGGACTGCCACAGGCTGGTCCAGGGCAAAAAGATCCAAGACAATAACTAAACTGGGTATAGTCCCATTTTAATTCAATTAAAACCAAATGAAAATAGTGATACGATTATTCTTCAAATGTTGACTTAAAAACCTGCTCTTTTTTCACTTTAAAAATACAGCTCAAAATCAACTTTGGGCTGACTGTGGAGGCTGTGCCACTTAGGAGAGGGGAAGCTTGTGGCTCCAGACATCAGATTGTATTGGGGCTGCATTTTCTGCTAACCTTTTCAGATGCAAGAGACACTCAAGCATTCAGAACTAAAGAACAAGGCAGTGGCCCTAGTTTCTTCTTTTCAAATGCAAAAGTCACATTATAATTGTTGAAGGAGGAGGGAATCCAAAACCATGGCTGATTTGCACTCTCCACTAGATCATGATTTATCTCCTCTTCACCTACAATTAAGACACTCCATTTCTGCAGTTTACGCATAAGGACCTGCCATCCAGAGTGCAGGTGGTTGATCTGATGATCTCCCTTTGATCAAGGGAGGTTGTACATTCTCCGCTGCAGTGTCTCTAGATGCCTTCAGAGAGGGTCAGCCAGCCATAATCCCCTGCCAGGAGTTCTCCATCTAATTCTTTTCAGGAAGAGACCCGTTGAGCTATGGGCAATGAACAGCCCAGCTGTTACTAGTCTCTTAGAGGCAGAATACTTCACCTTTCATTTGAGTTAGACTAAAAAAACAAAATTTAAAACATTTCATAGCTGTTTTCCATCCATAAAAATAATATTTTCCAATTTGTTTTCTAAAGCAAGCTGAAAAAATCTGGCAATTTTAACAAATGCTTAATAGTCAATAGTTCATAGCAAAGATACATGTTATGAGACTGCGTGTTCCAGCTGCCCCTAGTTCTAGTATTTTTTTCCTTGTGGCATATTATTCAAGTCTTTGCCCATCTAGAAGGGTTCTTGCCCCTCGCATCCCTGGCCCAGAAGGAAGACAGATTTGAGTGACAGGCTTTCTTGGACACACCACCTTCATTCCGTTCTGGTTAATTTTTTATTGTATTTGATTTTAAAACAAAAAGGTCTGGTCTTAAATTTGCACTCAGGCAGGATCAGATGTTCAGGAAGAGACATCAGGTCCTGCTTCCTCCCTGGGACAGAAAGTTGGGCTCTTGAATCAGAGGTCCCAGAGAGCAGTGAATCAGAGGCTGCTTATCCTGAGCAGGACAGGCAAGGTGCCTTCCATCGCTCTGTCTGGGTTCTGTTCCAGGACATTCTTCATTAAGGGCAGAATCAGTTGCTTCCATTGCAGCTGGCAATGACAAGTCATCCCACAGATCTGTGAATTACCTAATTTACTCACGATGTCGCTCACCCCACGGGCCAGGCAACAGGAGTTCCCAGTTCCACCCAGCCTTGCATAGGCCAGCATATGATATTGGGCAAGACCTTCCTGAGGGCTAGCCACACATTGCACAGACCACAGAGTTCTCTTGGGAGCCCTTCTGCGCTTACGTCCATTTTGGCTACCCACAGAAAAACATGATCTGAAAGACGTGGAACTGCATCTGCATGGAGGGAAGCATGGGTGGGTTCCCTCAAGGTTCTGTCTTAGGTCCAGTAGTCCTCAACATCTTCATCAACGATTTAAATGGGAGGTAGAAGGAATACTCATCAAACCTGCAGACAATATCAAGCTGGTGGGGAATAGCTAACACTTTAGAAGGTAAGCCCAAGATCCAGAAGGATCTTGACAGACTTGAGCGTTGAATCCTAACCAAAAAAAATGCAGTTCAGTGGTGAGAAAAGAGAGGTTTGATATTTAGGCAGGAAAAGCCAAATGCACAGATACAGAATAGGTGGTACCTGGCTCAACAGCAGTAACTGGGAGGGATCTTGGTGTCCTAGTAGACCATCATTTGAGCCAGCAGTGTATTGCAGCTGTGAAAAAGACAACGAAGTCCTAGGTTGCATCAAGATCATAGGAAGTGATAGTACTAGTGTTTTATACCAGGGCTTTTCAACCTTTTCACCCATTGTACCAGTTTTAGGATATGGCAATATTCAAGTACCATTAGTCGCCTAGCAAGGTGTCAAAACTCGATGACCCAAAAAAAAAAGGAAAAGTACAGGTAGTCCTTGACTTACAACAGTTCGCTTAGTGACTGTTCAAAGTTAAAACGGCACTGAAAAAAGTGACATAACCATTTTTCACACTTATTACCATTGCAGCATTCCCAGGGTCACAGGATTTACATTTGGATGCTTGGCAACTGATTCATATTTATGACGGTCACATTGTCCCAGGGTTATGTAATCCCCTTTTGTGACCTTCTGACAAGCAAAATCAGTGGGGAAACCAGATTCACTTAACAACCATGTTACTAATTTAACTACTGCAGTGATTCACTTAATAACTGTGGCAAGAAAAGTCATAAAATGGGGCAAAACTCATTTAACAAATTTCTCACCCCTCCTCCTTTTATATCCTCTCTTCTCTCCTCCTTTTATATCCTCTCTTCTCTCCCCCTTTTATATCCTCTCTTCTCTCCCCCTCTTTTATATCCACTCTTTTCTCCTCCTTTTATATCCTCTCTTCTCTCCTCCTTTTATATCTCTTCTCTCCTCCTTTTATATCCTCTCTTCTCTCCCCCTTTTATATCCTCTCTTCTCTCCCCCTTTTTTATATTCAGCAGTTCCATCCAGCTGAAGGTTGACTCAGCCTTCCATCCTCCCATAAAATGAGGAGCCAGATTATTGGAGGCAAGATGCTGACTCTGTAATCTCTTAGAGGGGGCGTTAAAGCACCGTGAAGCGGTTTATAAGGATAAGTGCTACTGCTAAGCAAATCTAAGAGCTCATTAGATAAAGAAACAACTGCTTTTCTCCTCCTTGTCCCACCTCAGGAAACTCCGCTGGCACAGTTTCCAGAACTCCCACCGGCCCAGCTTAAGTTCGGCCTCCTTAGAAATCAGCTGCCAGTCAGCAGCTCAGCTCAGCCTTCTCCAGAAGTGCTCCCTTTTCCGCCTCACAGCCATCATGGAGAAGTTCTCCGTTCCCCACAAGCAGTCCTGGGCCTGGTAAGTCCGTGAGGACACGAGGATCTTGAGGGGCTTGAAGAAAAGCAGCACCTCAATGGATTGACATGTCCTCCCTCTGGGGGAGCTTCTGTTCCATCCATTTTGGCCTCTGTGTGGTTCAAGGTGGCTCACAGAATTGCCAAGTTAGAAGGCACCTCAAGAGGTTTTGTGGTCTGACTCCTTCCTTGAAACAGGATTTTCTGAACAATTTTAGACAGATCCAGCTTTGATTTGAAGCCCTCCATCTCATGAGATAACCTCACGAGACAACCTCATGATGTTTATTGTTATATATTCTTCGTAATATGTAAATCTACTTCTCTATCGTGTCAACTATTGGTTCTCTGGGCAAATACAGTAAATCCACTCCTTATCCTAAAGATTCTACAGATTCTCCTCTCAGTTATCTATTTGTAGATTAAACAGACCTAGATCTTTTTAACAACTCCTGGTAGAATGCGGTTTCCACTTTGGCAGCCCTTCTCTGAATTGGTTCCAGTTGGTTAATGTCCTTTTTAGAGCAGAGCACAGAATATTCCAGTTGTTGCACAGAAGTCATTTGACTCTTTCAGATCTTGAAATTCAGAGAATTACTGAACTCTGTTTGCATGATGCATGAGGGGCTGGTGTGTCACGTGGGCATGGAAACCCTAACAATGAAGGACTAGGAAAGGGGCATTTTAACCCCACACAGCCCCAGAATTGTTTGAGGCGATCATTTTTCTATTTCACCAGCTGGACATGGAGAACCTTGTGTGGCCCTGTCAAAACAGGACTTCTCCAGGACTCATTTCCTTAAGTGAGATGGGTGGTGTAGAAATTTGATGAAAAAATAACTAAAGGAGGAATCAGTTAAAAATTTTCCAAGCCAATGTGAAGGACTGGTTAACATTTATCAGAAATGTTTAGTTACCGAAAGCAAAGGTTCAGATGCTTTTGCCACATACAAATATGTAGCTTTGGATAATTTTCAATAAAGAAATGAACATATTTTGGTTTTGACCATTTATTTAACTGGGTTCTATATCTTTCATTTTAAAATATGTGGAAAAGTCATATTTTGGGTCATATTTATGCAGAAATGGGGCAATAGTTGGGTGGGCAATAAATTTAAAAAGATAAATAACATTGAAAATGTTTTAAGCACTAGAGCAAGGGTGTCCAACCTTGGCAATTTTAAGACTTGACTTCAGCTCTCAGAATTCCCCAGCCAGGCCTAGGCAGTCACTCTCTCTTCTCTGACAGGACTGTTCCCAAGTTCATGAAGAGGAGCAAGCCCCCAAACTACAGGGGCAAGATGGTCTTTGGAGTCCCCTTGATTCTCAGTGTCCAAAGGACGGGGCAGCCCCTGCCCCAGAGCATCCAGCAGGCCATGCGCTATATCCGAAGCCGGTGCCTGGACCAGGTGAGGAAAAATTCTCTCTCTCTCTCTCTCTCTCTCTCTCTCTCTCTCTCTCACACACACACACACACACACACACACACACACACACACACACACGCACACACACTCATTTCTGATTGGGCCTAAGACAACCCAGGTGGGAAGGAAGACATAAGGAAACAAAGGCCTAATCCTGAGATAATGGGGCACAGGCTCCCACACAGTAGAGGAGGAGAGGCGGGTGGGAGAACAGAGCCCAGACTTGCTGCTGATGCGTGGTCTGGATCATCTGAGATGTATAGGTGATCCTATCTGAAAACTAATTTTGCTAGCATTGTTAAATGGGGAGATGGAAAGAGAGCAGAAGGCAGAAGAAATACGGGTCTTTGTAGTTGTTGATATATGTGTGATTTCCCCCCCCCCAAATGGCACTCATTTCTAATTTCCTTGGCGTTTCCTTTTTCGTAAGGCCTTTCTTTTTAGCCAGTGATCACAACTGAGACCAAGATTTTTGTTGCAAAGTGAGACAGTTGCTAGATGGCTTTTGCCCCGTTTTGCGACCTTTCTTGTCACCGTTGTTGGGCGGGTTGCTGCGGTTGTTGGGTTGGTGATGCGGTTGTTGAGCGAACCTAGCTTCCCTTTGACTTTGCCTGTCAGAGGGTTGCAAGGGGGGATCGTGGTGGTCGTGGGTGTGAGGACCAGTCATGAGTCACTGCTCTAAAGCAGCGACAGCCTCATTCGTGTATTTTGAAGGAGGAATTCCAGAGTTCCTGCCTGCAGCCACATTGACTAATGGTTGCTGCAATCCAAAAGGGGTGAGGGACATCAGGTTGTAAAATGTGAAGTATTTCTCTGTGTAAAAAAGTTGTTTAAGTCTGTGCCCTACAGAGGTTTGGTCGCCTTCTGTACACGTGGGGATGACTGACCCATTCAGGTTGACCAGAGATGCCTAAACTTTTGCAGGTAACTCTGTGTTCATCCTTCACATGTAGCTCAAGCTATCACTTTCTCTTGACCTAACTAATATATTTTCTCTATCTAGAGTTTCACATTTTTCCTACTGGTGGCCAACACAGTTGCTTTGTTCTGAATAAGGTATCTGAAACCTATGAGACTAGAATAAAAATGGCAGCTGGGAGCTTCAGTTGGCCTTGGAAGACCTACGCAGGCATATAAAGGATCTGCTATAGTGCTAGACCAGACCAGACCTCAGCAGAACGGGACAGAATAACAGAGGTGGAAGGGGCCTTGGAGATTGTACACCTACCTGATATCTCTTTCCTGCACAGGTTGGCATTTTTCGCAAATCTGGTGTAAAGTCCCGGATCCAGGTCCTCAGACAAAGGAGTGAAGCCTCTCCCGATTATGTGAATTATGAAGGGCAATCGGCCTATGATGTGGCTGACCTGTTGAAGCAGTACTTCCGTGACCTCCCAGAGCCCGTCTTCACCAGCAAGCTGACAGATACATTTCTGCAGATATACCAGTGTGAGTAGGGGGGTGGTGGAGGAGGAGGAGGCCCATGGTTATGGAACTTTAGCTGGCCGTCTATTGGGCTAGAGTCAGTATGTCTATGGACAAATACGCTTGGCTAAAATGTTGTTTCATATCTTGTAGGGACTGTCCACAACAACAGCGTGTCCTATGTATTTTTCGCAGCTAGGATTCTGATTCATAGAACTATATTGCTGGTTCTGGTGCTGCTTTCTCCCCCCCCCCCCATGGATATCCGATGATAGTACTTGACCAGGACTGTTTCTATTTGTGCGATTGCCCATGACAGCCTTTGACCCTCCACGTGATAGTAACTTCATATAGTTTTAAGAGACTGCTTGTGCAGCCCACTGCAAGTGCCACTGCTGCCTCCTCTCCCCCAAATAGACATTAGGAATCTCCTAATCAACTGCTTAGTGGTTGCAGACTGTCAGGTGCAAAGAATCGGGACCATTCATAAGGTTGCAGCATAGAAGATTTCTTCAAGCCTATACACAAGAATCTAGTCAGCTAAAGTTCAGCACTAAAGTTCCATGCCAGATAAGGGTCAATGGAATTCAGGAGGGGTTGGACTTGGGAGTGGGAATGCAAGGACTCTGAACTGAAGATAATTTAACTCCACCCCTGCCCAGCTCTTCTCCTACACATACAAAGATGTCTCATTGAACAGTTTTCTCCACTTCCCAGGAAGCTTCTGGATCAGTGGTCCCCAATCTTTCTGGCTCCATGGACTGCCGGCGGCTGTGGGGACAGTGGCTGCAGTGGGAGGGAGGTGTTTGAGCATGCAACCTAAATCCCGTGCATGCGCAAATGAAGCTTTGTGCACTTGCCCACTTGCCCACTGCTTGCCCAGCCCAGTTCCCAACAGGCTGGGGACCCCTGTTCTAAGTGGTTTCTTCCACAATTGTTAGACTCCAGCCCTATTGACCTTGTCACTGCAAGCTCCCTTCATTTTCAGGGACTTCATGAGTGTGTTTGGTATTATGAAGGGGGAGTGGGCATACTTCTATGGGCACATACACCTCACACCTAGATATATGTAGCTGGACCACGATTGTTAATCATAGGACCAAAAGGCTCTGGCAGGGCTCTGGCTTGTATCTCATCAAAATGTATTAAGAATTGGTTAAACTGTATTTTATTTCTGTTTTATTTTAAATTGTATTTTAACCAATTCCATTTTAAATTGTTTTTACTGCATTTTAGTATAAACATGTGTTTGGAACTCTACGCCTTGATATGGCTCATGGGCTAATCAATAAAGTACTGAATTAATTAATATTAAGAATTGGAAGCAGCTTTTTTATTTTCAAGCCATACTCAGTAGGATGAAAGATCTGCCAGTAAGCTGGGCACCGTCTCAGAAACCAGAGACAGAAGCAGAAATGGAATGTCTTCTCATAGGGAGGGATGGGGAATCCTGATCTGAAGATCAGAGCAGGACTGAGTAGGGCCGGGCCTCTCTTTCCCCTGCAGAGCTGACACAGGGGGCAGAGTCCCTGCTGCTGTCAGTATTCAGCCCCCCACAGTTCAGACACTGACGTTTGTTTCTTGAACTTTCCAGTTGTGCCCAAAGAGCAGAAGCTGCAAGCTGTCCAGGCCACCATCATGTTAATGCCGGATGAGAACCGGGAGGTTTTGCAGACGCTGCTCTATTTTCTCAGCGATGTTGCCTCTTCCGAGGAGAACCAGATGACCGTGGGAAACCTGGCTGTGTGCTTAGCTCCCTCCATCTTTCACCTCAATGTCTCCAAGAAAGAGAGCACTTCTCCAAGGTGAGGCGATATCTCCCAGCTGCAGGTCAGGTCTCTTTGCTCTTGGTTACCTGATGCTCAAACCCCAGATGGATGGCGCTTTCAAGATGGCAGAGGGTCCCTACTTCAGAACTGCAGCAAGGCATCAGTCTTTTTTTTTTAAGTAGATTTTTATCAAAGTTTTGGAAGGAAGGAAGGAAGGAAGGAAGGAAGGAAGGAAGGAAGGAAGGAAGGAAGGAAGGAAGGAAGGAAGGAAGGAAGGAAGGAAGGAAGGAAGGAAGGAAGGAAGCTTTCCATTTCCTTTGCAGCAAATACGAGTACATTTACAATTCTCTCTTACTCTATGATTTTAAAATAAACCCTCACTTTCTACTATTATCCACCCAGCACCAGACTTTGGAGGCTGTGTGATCAAAAGAAACAGTTTATAAAGCGAATAAGTAAAATTCATGCTATGGCATGCCATTTTCCACAGAATGGGATAACTCATCGCGGCCATTTTGCCGCAGCCAACTCACCCTGGGACAATTCCACGCAGGATAAATCAATGTGATAAATATTATCCGCCACTGTTTCTTTGATATTATTTCTATTGACAAAAATGGCGGATAACATTTATCGTGTTGAGTTATCCCGTGTGGATTTCCCACAGCAAGTCATCCCACGGTAAGTTGATCAAGGCAAGATGGCCACAGTGAGATGGCCGTGGCAAATTGTCCTAGACCCCATTCTCCGTTGTTGCAGAGCCCTTTTCTGTTTGGAAAGGGAGTGTGATTTTGCGTTGTCTACCTGTACAGTATATACAGTACATATTTATATTTCTAAAAGAGAGAAAAAGAAAAGTCTTTTTTTGAAAGTCTTATGTTGAAAGGCCGCCTGAATGTGTATTAATAATTTTTGATATGAATTAAAATCAGAAATCCATAACTGCACAATCTTAATGAGGCCAACTGACATTTATCATAGTTATAAGTTATTGGGAGTTATCAGAATTTTTCTTAGATAAAACAGAATCCTGGAAGAATAAGAGTAAAAAGTGGCGGTAGGCATTGACGCAGGTCTCATCTGCTTGTGACACTGGTGGAGGGTCCATCCTCACCTTGTCAGGCCTCGGGGCCAAACCTGGAAGAAGAGAACTTCCCCTGTGGCTTTTGCTGCCTGTAGCTAGAAGGGCTGGAGCAGGAGCGCAGGCGATGCTGACTTCTCTTTGTCCACCTGACAGGTCAATTCACAGGAGGGGCCCTGTGGGGAAACCAGAGCAGAAAGACCTGAATGAAAACATGGCTGCCACCCAAGGCCTCTCCCACATGATTGCCAACTGCAAGAAGCTGTTCCAGGTACCAGAGGCTTTCGTTGCTCTTTCGCTCAGGAGGGTGGCCTGGAGCTCCCAGAATTCCAGCCAGCTGCAGCGGGCTTGACCTTGCGGGGCAGGAGGAAGAGCCCCTGCCAAGAGAGTGGTCAGATAAAGAGGACTGAGCTTGCCCCAGGTTCTCACACAGATAAAGGGAGGGAGGGACGAGTGCTTTCCTGCTTGAAAGATTCTGCTACTAAAGCTATACAATAAAAGTAATATTGATCTATAATATGATCGGTTGGATTTCTTCTCTGCTCCACGTTAAAGGGCTGATATAAGTAGGGCCTAAAAGGAATTGTGGATGTTGCAAGGAGGGCTCCAGATTGTCTCAGGTGATTTTTAGGTTATTTCAAATACACTTTTCTATTGCTTTCAACTTCAGTTTGTAGAATGGTTTACAGTAAAATTTAAAAAAAAAACAGAACCATACAAAATAAGAGTATAATTAAGATAGCAAATCAACATAAAGAGCTTTATGTAATCAAACACATTCTGTCAAGTTGTGGTCATCTCTTAGCAATCACAAATGTGTATTTTCCCCAAAACAATCTATCCCTAGCTTGGTCCTTCAAATCTTCCAATGGTGTCCCCAATGCCAATGTAACGGAATCCCGCCCTCTTGCTGCTGATCGTCCTCTTCTCTTTCCTTCCACTTTTCCCAGCATCCACCATCCCCATCCTCTAGCAAAAATAGGGAGCACCGGAAGAGTCTGTCTGGACAGGGAGAGCTTTGCTGTTGGGTGCAAGCAGAGGTTCGTCCTCAGTGGCAGAGTCACTCAAAGGATCCTCTTCCTTCCTCCAGATTCCCCATGATATGATACTGCAGCTCAGCAACTCCTACCTGTTGGCTGATGCTCAGCCACTCTCCTTACCGGAGCTGAGGAAGCAAAACCTGGGAAGAGAAATCCAGGATTCCCACCCAGTCTTGGAGGCCAGCATCCGAGGCCTGCTGAAGGAGTCATCCGAACGCTTCAAAGGCTGGACCAGCATGCTTGGCCCCCCACACACGGAGCTCTCATGCAAGAAGGTAAGAGGGGCCAAGGGAAGCCTTACAGCTGCTCTCGGAACGTCTGATGTGCCCCCTGGGCCACCATTAGACTATGTTTCAAGGTAGCCATCCAGGATAATTGTGTGTCTGTCTTAGAATGATTTCCTGTTATTTCATCGTTCACTGGTAGGCAAAAATGCATCTTTTGGTCACTTTTAATGCCAAGGCCAACATCTTCTTTGGCTCTGGGTTTCGGCCGCAGTGGAAAATTCCTTCTTCACCATCCCCTTCCTCGTTGCCATTGTAAAAGAGAAGAAAGAGGGGTTTCCCTGCGCCCCAACTGAAGTGGGGCTTGGGGACGGCAGAAAACGCCACCCTCCCTGAAAGGGAAGATGCTCCCAGCAGCAGCTGAGGCTGAGTACACACACTGGCCCAGAGGGCCAAAGCTGAGGGGTGCCGGTGCCGCCTTCTCCTCCCAAATCATTCTAAAAATGCCAGTCTTCACACTGCAGGAGGTGGCGCCCTCAGACAATCTGGCCCAGGGCAGCCAACGTGTTCTGAGTATTCACATAGGCTGAATCCGCCTTTGTCCTGTCCCAGGCCAAACACACACAAGAGGTGATTGAAACCTTCCCTTTGGTCTTTTTGAGGCAAGTTCTCAGTGACAGGGAGAGCATCAGCACAACCTACAATACCCAAAAGGGAAACAGGTCCTCACAAGCCTGCCTTACCAGAGACCCCAGACCTCCAAGTCCAAAGCAGCAGCCAAAGAGGGGCCAGGGGAGGTCGGAGGGTCTGCACAGCCCAGAAGCTTCATTGGCTTGTCTGGGAGTGAAAGCGCAGGATTCAGAAGTCAAGATTCGAGGCCCACGGAGTCTGGGTCAGCGCGTGGCTCTTTCCAGCAGAGAGGCTCAGGTCTGCCGCTCTGCTTAAGGAGAGGCAGGACCAGCATTGCTCCTCGGAGGAGGGCTCCTTTCTCACGAGGAGCCCAGCAGAGCCTTTTGCTCTGCTCTCTTCTCTGTGCGGTCAGCCCTCGTGCCAGGGGAGGCAGCAGCTTGAACTTCTCACCTTCTGAGGCTGACGGCAGCTCTTCCTCTGGAGGACAGGCCCCCAACTGTCCTCAGGCAGGGATTCGTCCAGTAACTCTAGAGCCAGCTGCTCGTGGTGGGCCTACGTGTCTGAGCTGAGCCCAGCCTGGTGGATTCGAATGGCTGTGTGGTGGAAGGACTGTAAATCAGGATGCTTCACCTTCACACACAGGTGCTCCATCCCAGTCCAGGTGGAGTCAAGAAGGTGAAATAACTTGTGCCAGGAGGCCCTCTTTGCCCAGCTGCCTAGAACCTGCAGGACACACGCAGGCCCTTGCTGGGATGGTGGGGCCTTCGTAAAGTTGGTAGGCATGGGCATTCTCTGTTTGTCGTTCCCAGTTAAGAGGAACCCAGTTCTTGGAGTAAGTAAATGCAGAGATTGGCAGGGTAGATGCCTGATGTGGGCATATGTGTATTCATTTATTTCCAAACTTGATATCTTATCTAACAGACCCTCAATGTGTAACAAGAAAAGATGGACCAAAAGATGTCTTGTTTCTGGAATGGTAGAGAAATGCAGAGAAAATGAAAGTTTCCTCTTTCTAATCAGGAGCTGGACATTGTTTCGAGTCTAGAAATCTTTAAAGGGATCTTTCTTTCTTTCTTTCTTTCTTTCTTTCTTTCTTTCTTTCTTTCTTTCTTTTTACTTACTTACTTACTGTCTATGCTGGGTGGTTTACAACAACATAATAAAAATATAAAATGGAATTAAGACAAGAAGTTAAAGCTCACAAGGTAAAACTGAAATCCAGAGTTAAAAATGCTGAAAGGGCGACAAGGCAGAGGAGACCGTCAACCCCCAGCCGCCCCCTGCTCATTGGCAGAGCCAGTCTTAACACACTTCTAGAAGGCTGAAGGTGGGGGCTGCCTCACCTCGGGGCCAAATGTTACAAAGGTTTGGGCAATGGTAGAGAAGGCCTAAGGGATGTAGCATGAAGGATGGTGGCCTTCGGGGAATGGATGATGGGGAGACTCTGCCACCTGGGCACGACCTGGCCCTAAACAGTAACGTCTTTGTGATATCCAGGTGGAGGATGGGCATCCCCTGCGTCTCTGGAAGGTCTCCACCGAAGTGGCCGCGCCCCCTCACCTGGTGCTCAAGCGGATTCTCAGGGAGCGGCACTTTTGGGACGAGGACCTGCTGCAGGGCCATGTGGTGGAGGCTCTGGACAAGAACACCGAAGTGTACCATTATGTGACCGACAGCATGGCTCCACACCCACGGCGGGACTTTGTGGTTCTCAGGTGAGGAACTCTAGAGAGGAAATCTCCATAAACAAGCACAGTGTCCCATCTCTGGCTCTCTGACCCCGTCGCTTTCTGCACTAATCCTTTGCCTAGATCTTTTTAGCTGGAGCTGAGGATGCCATTTTGCTGAAGCCCTCAGCCTTTGGGAAGCAGCGGAGAGTTCCTGGGCTTCCTTTGCTGCCTCATGCAACATTTCCTGCAGGCCACTTATTTCGATTTTGGACTGTAGCGATTAGAAGTGGCTGTGAGATACAGTCCTAGGCTGCTACTCTTCTCTCTGGCAGCTCCACATAGTTTGGGCTCCTCACATGGTGTCCCAGCTCTCATCTGCCCACTTAGTTTTTAAATTTGCTACTTAAGTCTGTTTCTCTCTGGAAACAAAGCCCTTCTTTTTTCCCTATCAGTTCAGAACTGCACCCAGTGAGAAGTGGTGACCATGCTCTAGCCAGGTTGGTTGAAAGTTAGAATCAGATCTTCAGTGTGAGTTGGAAAGGTGACTCTTTAATATCCAGACTGGAGCAAAGACTCCTAACATTGTACTTGACTTTCAAATAACTTTAGTGCTTGCAATAATTCTAGCCTTTCTCGGGTTTGTCTGTCCTCTGAGTCTAAAGCCAGCCACCTGGCTTCTACCCAGGGCCTGTTCTTGCCCCGAGGATCCCAACAGCTCTCCCATCAGTTGCTTGATTAGGTAGCCCCTGGAGACGGGAAAGAGCAGACGACTTTAGACATTCCTGAGCCAAGATCACCTTTTCTAGGTCATGGCAGACAGACTTACCCCGTGGGGGTTGCCTCCTGGTCTCCTTCTCTTTGGAGCATCAAAAGTTGCCACTGGAATTTGGAGTCAGGGCCACGGTGCTCACCTCCCAGTACCTGATGGAGCCTTGTGGAACAGGACACTCCAAGGTGACACACATCTGCCAAACTGATCTCCGGTAAGAATTCAAGCCAGCTGTCCTACATTTAATGGCAGGGAGGTGGGCATCCCTTTGACCTCTACCCCCATAAAAGGGTCTGGCCTTCAGCAACACAACAAGCCAAGAGCGTTCCAATTTCTTAGCCATGACAAGAGAATTTCTCAGTCCAAAGGGTGGCAATATCATTGTAGGTCTAACAGGACTTCTCCAGGCTGCTGCTGTCCAGATGTGCTGGTTACACTGCCGTAATTCCTACACTGACTAGCTATTATTGAAGTTGAGTGTTGAGAGCAACAGATTGGGGAATATTGTTTCCACCACAGAGAGAGAAAATTCCTTCAGCTAAATCTGTTGCTTTTCAATCAAATTTGAAATATGTGAAAACCTTGTTGTGCACAATTTTTTCCCTAAGATGACCTATCTTATTCAAAGCAAGGCCAGGATTTTGCAACTTAACTGAATTGTGGTAAGCTTGGATTTCCTCTTTCAGTATTTTGTTTCTGCTTGTGCGTTAAAGGATAAAACCCAACCTCGCCTCCCCCCATCCCAGATTGCTTCTGAGGTTCCAGATGATTGAGTTTGTTTGGATTCTGGATTACATTTACGGTTGCTCAAAGGGAGCTCTTGGCCTGAGTGTTGAGACTCTAGAAGGAGTGCAGAGAAAAGCAACAAAGATGATTAGAGGGCTAGAGCCTAAAACATGAAGAACAGTTGCAGGAATTGGGTAAGTCTAGTCAAGTGAAAAGAAGGACGAGACAGTACAGCAGTGTTCCAATACTTCAGGGTTTGCCACGAGGAAGAGGGGGTCAAGCTATTCTCCAAAGCCCCTGAAGGCAGGACAAGAAGCAACGGATGGAAACAAATCAAGGAGAGAAGCTAACTAGAATTAAGGAGAAATTTCCTCGCAGTTAGAAAAAATAATCAGTGGAACGGCTTGCTTTTGAAACTTGTGTGTGCTCCATCACTGGAGGCTTTTAAGAAGAGATTGGACAGCCATTTGTCTGAAATGGTATAGGGTCTCCTGCTTGACATGGGGTTCGACTAGAAGACCTCCAAAACTTTTTCCATCTCTGTTATTCTGTTGCTAATTCCCTGCTTTTTGCACTTCTAGAGGGAGGTCTCCAGAGTGGTACAACAAGGTCTTTGGCCATCTCTGTGCTATGGAGCTGGCCAGGATTCGCGATTCTTTCCCAGTGTTCAATCCCTGTGGACCAGAAACCAAGATCTGAAGGATGCCACCAGATGGGTAGACTTCAAGTTGGAGTCCTTTTGGAGCAGAATGTTGGAACTGAGCCTTTGCTTCCTGGAACGCACCCTCCACCCTTCAATTTCCCTTTGCTTCTTCGTTTCAAGGAATATGAGATCCAAGTCTCCCTAACGTTCCTGTTTTATGATTCAGCAACATGATCCAGAGGTTAAGCTTTATGCTAGTGGTTACTTCTCCATAAATTATCTCCAGGGTTAGAAGAATTCTTTGAACACTGTTTACTAAAAGACACAATTGAGAAGGAGCTCCTGAGCTCCTGCCTGCTTTGGGGTTCTCAGTTTGTCTCTGGTTATTGTGAGGACAAGATGTTAGATAATATGGTCTGATCCTGTAAAACTTCTCACGATCTTCTGAGAAGTCTATCAATCCACCTAAGTCAAGGAAAGCCAACTTTGAAACCTCTTTAAAGGATTAGACTGCTTTGTTGAGGGCTGTCCTCAGATGTAGCAGACATGGTGCTTATTGAACCAGGTTTCAGGTTCAGGAACTACCATCCCAAATCTAGACTAAAGACTGGATATGTCCAAGCCACTTTCCTGCAACCTTTGAAAAATAACCCAATCTGATTTGAGAGGATTGGGAATTGGGGCCCACCTCAGCACAAAATACCTCCTTGCGACTTTTTAATTGCAACCACTGTTTCCTTAGCAGGTAGGTGTACCCTGTGCAGGGCAATCCCTGGGAAGAACCAGGGAGTAGCAGAGGGTGTGGGTGGAATGGAGTCAAATATGGCAAGCTGTTCTCATGTTTAAGCATGAGGGGTCTTGGAGAAAGGAAAGGAGAGCTGTGGGTGAGGTTTTTACTACTACACTTGTCAGGCATGGAGCATGTGTGAAAAAGAGCCAGAGCTTGCATCTTGGTCACGGTGCCCACGATATGCTCTTAGCCTCTTTTCATCCTGGCTTCCATCTCTTCAGCGGTAGAAGGCCAAAAGGGACTGAAATTATTCCAGACCATGTAGGTGGACACTCTTTTTTCCAGGAGTCTAATATTTCAGGTAATAAGAATTCCCTAGTAGTTATAAGATTAAAAATCAAGACAATGGAGGAAAAGTTTGGAATTCCCAGACTTCTTTTTCCTTCAGCATAATTTCAAAGTACCTGAATCGGGGCTTGCAGGTTGTTAAACCACGTGAAATCTTTGGGTCTTAAAGTCATCCCAGGGAATCGAGGGGAATCCCTACTGTTTTGTAGATCACATTTCATTTGATGCTCATTGTTTTGGGGGATGGAAGTCAGCCTTTAATGCTGCGGCTGGCAAAGAGAAAGATTAGGCAAGCTAGCATGTCTGTGATCTTATTCATCTCAAAGGTTTCGGGACCTCCATCCTTACGATGGGAAGTAGGAAAACTGGAACTGCAGAAGTCTCTGGGCTGCTTGAGCCAGCAAGGAGATGGGCAGCTTTCTTCAGGCTGGCCACTCCGTACTTCCCAGTCTCGGCACGGGAGGAGCACAAGTACAAGCCTCATTTGGAGAATGAAAGCCAAGCCAAGCTAACAATTAAAGCAATTACTTTGGAAATGACCACCGAAGAAGAAAGTGCCTGAGAAATAGCCCGAGAGCATTCAGCAGGATATGAAAAAGGTGTGGAAACAAGAAAACAAGGCAGGGAAACAGCAAAACGTGCTCTCCTTCCCATCACATCCTGATTCTTGTAGAGACATAAATATTCCTTTACATAAGAACGAGCTTGTTACCTGAAGAAAGGAAGGCTCAACTTCTCTCCAAAGGAGGTTGAAGAAAGACAACACTTGCCCCTTCCATATTAGCCAACAAGATTTGTTCTAGTCCAAGTTGCCACAAAATATTCGAGGGAATAGAAAGGATCATCACTCTTTGGAGACCCTCCCAAAGACTCTGGGAGAGCTTTGTCTACTTGCAGCTTCCACAGTTGTGGCCATTTTTGTATCCCTAAACAACCTCCGTTCTAAACCTGATAAGCTTATTCAGGCTTCAACGACACCTGGTGCTGGTGGTTGCCAGGCCACGACGTCTCAGGATGCAGGGTCCTCTGCTAAAAATCAAGCTGAGGCTAAGCTAGAGTGCTTCGAAAGAGCTAGGCCTTGCTTCCTTCCCTTTCAATAGCCAGTTTGCTAGGGATCTGACCCATTGGGAAGCAGTCATCCATCTGCTAAGCAAGCTTCTAATCCCTCATCCCGAGCATAGACATCAGGATACACGCCACTAAGGCTTAAGAGAATCTTGTCTGATCCTTCATTAGCTGTATAACGTACAGAAAATCATTAGGATGGCAGAAACTCTGACAAAAATAGTGTTTTCCCTTCCAGTCCAGCCCTATTCAGCTCCACTCTGCTCACTTGCTGAAGGCTGCAGCCTCCTGCCAAGAGCAGAGGATAATTACTCCGTGTAGAGAAAAGGCCACCTTTCTTCTCTCTCGGCCAATAACTCACCTCATGCTCAGTTAGCAGATCTTCAGAATAGGCCCCAGATTTTAAAACCACCACCCTCCCCACTGACCTCTTGCTGGACCTAAATGACAAGAATTGAGAGGAACTTCCCAACTTACCTGCTCAATGCAGTTCCAAGAGGGGGAAATTATCCCTACAGGCTCAGACCCTCCACAAGACCCCAGAACCAGAGCAGTCCCCTCCTCCGACAGTGACTCTGATTTGGATCCTGACAAACAAGCATTTGCTTACTTATCTGGAGGGAAACTGCTTGCTCACTTCTCAGTTTTTGTTCTACAGTCATAGAATTGTAAGGCTGCTACCCCTTGGGTCTTCTAGTCCAACTCCTTGCCCAAGGCAGGATCCTTATGCCATCCCTGAAAAATGGTTGTCCAATCTTTTCTTGAACACCTCCAGCAATGGAGGACCCACAACTCTGGGAGGAAAGGTTGATCGATTGATTGGTCTCACAGTCAGGAAATTCGTCCTAATTTCCAAGTTGGATCTCCCTCTGACAGGATTCCATCCATTACTTCTTTCTTGCCCTCAGGTACTATGGAGAATAAATCAACACCCTCTTCCCGGTGGCAGCTCTTCAAGTATTGGAAGACAAGGATTGTGTCTTCCCTGTGCCTTCTCATCATTAGGCAAAACACAGCTAGGTCTCTTAGCTGTTCATTGTATGATTTAGCGTTCAGACTCCTGATCATCTTTGTAGCTCTTCTCTGCACTCTTTGTAGGGTCCCAACATCTTTTTTATATCATGGTAACCTGAACTGGAGGCAGGAATCCAAATGTGGCCTTACCCGGGCAGTATGAAGCGCAGTAGCACCTCTCGTGATCTTGATGCCATCCCTCTGCGGAAGAGAAGGTTCTGTATTTTGGGGGTCCTCCTGAGCAAGGGCACCGTATCATTTCATCCCCTCCGTCTCCATTCAGCCAGTCTTCTGACCTGCCAGGACCTCCCTTTCTATACTTCCTCTTAGATGCTGCCAAGACCTGTTTGGGGGGGGGGACACTAATGGAGGAAACGCTACTTTTTAACAGTGAATGTATTAATCCATCTGTAGATCCCCTCTGGTCCCCTGAGTGAAGTGGCAGCTGGGGGCTCCAAATTCTCAGGAACAGGCCAGTAAAAGAAAAGGCTGACCACAACCTGCCCTTCTTCATCCGTCCACCACACATCCAAGGTCATCCTCAGAATTGGATGAAGCTGCTGATCTTGAAGCCAGGAGGAGGAGTCCCCAAATGCTCAGAGGCTCATAGGTGGTCTGGAAGGGGAAGGAAGAGCCTTCAGTCTCAGAAGGCTACACCAGAAGAACTGAAGCAGGCTAAGATCTCCCAAACTTGGCTCGCCATACCGGAAGGGCCACAGGGAGCCGGAATCCTCCTCTTGCGCCTCCTATCTCCAGGCTGTCCCCAGAGTTCTGTAGAGGACTGACCCTTGAGGCCCAGAATTCTCCATCATCATTTTGATCCTCTAATCGTTCCAAATGTACAGTTTGACCTTGGTTAATACTGGCCTGTAAGCATGTCAGTTTGTTCTTTAACCAGGGACCCAGTTGATCAGACAGCCTTCCAACTGGAAGCAAGAAAACCTAATCTGTTAGAAAGGTAGGTGGGTGTTTTACAGCTGATTCAGTGATTCTTGCCAGATTCCTTATGATAAGAATGTATGTGGTTTATACCATTATTTATGGGACTATTATTTTTTAATCATCATAAATGATATTTTTCCTAACTGTAAATATTGTATAGTTGAAATATTAATTTAATATATAAAGAGTGTGAGAGCATGTGAAATGGATGTACTCTCAGTAAAAGCTGTTTTATATTTAATGAACATTTTGTACAATTCTGCAAACTGTTGACTGGAGAGAGGTTCCTCCTCTATTCGTATGACAAATAAAGACTAACAATACCCAACCACTGGTTGGGAAACCATCTACCAAAATAAAATCCTGAAGTGAGAGTCTTTGCTTTTCATCTGACAATAGAGGGACACTTTGGGTTTTAGTTCTATTTGGGGTTTTGTTCTTCAGCATCAGAACTGTGAAAACCAAAATGTTCAATTTTTCCAAAATTTGCTAATTATTATTAAATTAATCAAGACAAATTCTGAATGATTCCTGAAGGCCACGACGGCAGAGTCTACAAAATTGACCGAAGTATGTGCCGAAATGCTTTTAGTCTATTAAAGTTACTCTTATTAAAGTTATCTCTTTCGATGCCTAAAGAAATGTCTGTGCTTGAAAGACCATTTCGAACTTGATTTATCAGTCAAATGTTTTGGAATAATTGCACATAGCACTTTGATTTTAAAAAAGCTTTTATATGGTAAGAGGTGCAGAGTGGTGGATCAGCAGTTAAGAAACTGGACTTGTCGGGAGGAAAGCCAGCAGCCCCGGTTCGAGACCCGAGTTCCATGTGACGGGGTGAGCTGCCGTCCTCACCTCAGCTCCTGCCCACTTAGCAATTCGAAAGCATGCAAATGCAAATAGATAAATAGGTACCACTTCAGTGGGAAAGTATCAGTGCTCTGTGACGTCACGCTGGCCACATGATCATAGAAATGTCTTCCAGGGTTTCACTGCAGTGAGGTTTGGAAATAATCTCTAATAAATAAGGAGCAACTTTGAAGGAGGGACAATGCAGCAACCTTCCAACCGCCCATTAAGAGCCCCGCTGCGCCCTAAGCGGCTCTCAGGGCTCAGCCAGACAGTCGAAAAGGATGCCAGCATAAATTGTGCTGCCCTCATTGCCAGTCCTGGTTCTGTGTAGGGGACAAGCGAAGAAAAGAAAAGCCCTTTTTCCCAACTAAACCCGCTGTTGGGAAAAAGGGCTTTGCATACAATGGGCAAAATCAGGTGAGCAGAAGAGGGTGCTTGAACCAGAGGACTTAGCTATGGTCCTGATGGCAGGGCCAGACTACGGAAGCTCACCCTGAGGAGAGAATCGCCATCGTTGCCTTCACTGCCCAGCTTGCAGCCTTTGCCCCCTCTGGCATTGGAGCTTCCATGCAGGCTTCCTGCCCCTGGAATGCTGGCAGGGCTCTTTAAAGGGGATCAATCAATATGGAGAAGACTTGTGTTTAAGAAAGGCAACGGACAGGCTGTTCTCAGGTATAAAGAATAGAACAGAGCTGGAGGGGACCTTGGAGGTCTTCTAGTCCAGCCCCTGCTCAAGCAGGAGAACCTATACCATCTCAGACAAGTGACTGTCTAGCCTCTTTAAAAATCTCCAGTGATGGAGTGCCCACTATTTCTTTCTCTCTACCTTGTTTTTCTAGCCATTGATAAAAAGTGTCCCATGTTCTAAAATAAACTGAATCTTCTTTCTCTTTCATTTTCAATGTCAATCTATTCATTTCTGCACAATCTAACCTCAATTTATAAAGCTCTGCAGGTAACTATAAGGCCTCCAAGGTCCCTTCCATCCCTATTATTCAATGTTCTAAATCGAGTTAGTAGCCTGGGGACTGCCTCATTGGGAGTGTTTGCGTACCATCAGAGGATTCTGGGAGAATGAAAATTTGCTCACCACAAGCCAGTGATCAAGCTAGCAGCCCACATGAATCTTACAACCAAGAATCTAAATCAGAAAGTGTACATGTGCCAAGCTCAAACAAATCAAGAGAGGCACATAGAGTTACTTCTGAGTAGTTTCCTTTATTGTTCCTCACCTATAGACAGAAACCTTGCCAAACTACTTGCATCATTAAAGACGTAGTCTGAGAACTTCTAGGAGGAGCCGTCTTGACCTTCCTCCCAACTAAACTATCTAAACTTCACTGTCTCTTGGTCCTCTCCTTTCTGGGTATCTAGACTACCTGTAGTAGGAAACAGAGAGCCCTAGAGCAGGAGGGGTGGAGTCTTATCCTTTTTTTTTTTGCCTTTTTATGGCCTTTGTCATCTCCATCACTGATATTTTTTCATTTAAAATGTTTTGTCTATTCTCTGGGATTTTTGGTAGATTGCATTTTTTCTATATTGCTTTATTTTTTCTTGAGAAGTTTCCTCTGTATCATAACATGTCTCATAAAAGTAATTATTTTTTTAATTATATCATTTTGGAACTGTAACTCTTCTTTTGAGTCTTGCAGTTTATCAATTTTCTCTCTCTTTTTTTTTTAATTTGTATGCTAACCACCTCCCTGGTTTATTAGCATTTTTTGGCCTCTGCTAGGTTTATTTTATGTTTTATTAGTTCCATTTGTTTTTTAAGTGTTTTCTTTTATGGATCTATTTGTAGTTCTTTTTCTAATTTCATAAATTCTTCCTTTAACTTTAGCTCTTGTTGCTTTTTTTCTTTATTCTTTTTCGCCATGTAGGTTATGCCCAACCTTCTGAAGTATGCTTTAGCTGTGTCCCACACATTTTGAAGGGACATTTCCTCTTTTTTATTTATTTTGAAAAAGAATTCCATTTCCTTTGTTGCTATTTGCATAAATTGTTTCTCTTTCAATAAAGATTTATTCGGGGACCATCTTACTTTTTTCTTGGTTCCTCTCCAAGTCATCTTTATTGGATTGTGATCTGTCCATATATTGGGTTCTATCTCGATCTCTTGTATAATCGTGGTTAATTCAGGAAAACTCTGATAAACTGAAAGACAAAAAAGGATAAATATAAAAAAAATGGAAAGAGGTGAACATAATTAAGAAGGAATACCAGCGTATAGTCTGAATCTTTGAAGATGAAGTCAGGATACTTAAGGCTCAGAATGAACTAAGACTTGCAACAAATGTCAAAAATAGTTTTAAAAAAGTTCTTTTAATATGTAAAACACAAGAAAAATTCAAAGAAACAATCAGTCCATTAAAATGGGAGAAGATGGCAAGGAAGTGACAGGGAGCAGGGAGAAAGCAGAGCTGCTAATTCTTTCTTTGCATCCGTCTTCACACAAGATTTAAAAAATAGCCCAACCTATCAAAAACAGTATCATAAAAGACAGACTGGGAATTCAAGTTAAAATAGGCAGGAAAATGGTAAGAAAACAACTGTCCACTTTAGATGAGTTCAAAACAGCAGGACCTGATGGATTATATCCCAGAATTCTGAAGGAGCTGGCAGATCTGAACCATATCTTTCCAAGATCCTGAAGCACCCGAGAACTACCAGAAGACTGGAAAAGAGCTGATGTGGTTCCCAACTTCAAAAAAGGGAAAAAGTTCCAGTAAACTACACACCAATCAACCTGACATCAATACCTGGGAGTTCCTGGAAAAGATAATCAAGCAAATTAAATTAGTGGACCAATGAAATGCTATGGACATAGTATACTTGGATTTCAGTAAGGCATTTCACAAAGTAGACCACAACCTACTTCTTGGTAAGCTAGAAAAATGTGGAACAGACAGCATCACCACCAGATGGATTTGTAAGTGGCTGACAAACCGTACCCAACAAGTAGTCCTTAATGGTACTACATCTACATGGAGGGAAGTAAGCAGTGGGATACCCCAAGGTTCTATTTTAAACCCAGTACTTTTCAATATCTTCATAAATTATTTAGATGAAGGAATAGAAGGGGAACTCATCAAATTTGCAGATGACACCAAGTTGGCAGGAACAGCCAACACCCCAGAAGATCAAGAAGGATCTCAACAGACGTGAACACTGAGCCCTATCTAACAAAATTAAATTCAGTGTAAATAAAAGTAAGGTTTTACACTTAGGCAAGAAAAACCAAGAATACAAGTACAGACTAGGTGAAACTTGGCTCAATGCCAGCAACTGTGAGCAGGATCTTAAACAGGAGCCAGCCGTGTGCGGCAGCAGCCAAAAGAGCCAATGCAATCCTAGGCTGCATCAACAGAGGGACAGTATCAAGATCACGTGAAGTATTAGGACCACTTTACAAAGTCTTAGTAGGACCACTCTTGGAATACTGCATCCAATCGTGTTGACCACAATAAAAAAAAGATGTAAAGACTCTAGAAACAGTGCAGAGAAGAGCAACAAAGTTGATTAGCGGACTGGGGGCTAAAGCATATGAAGAACAATTGCAGGAATTGGGTATGTCTAGTTTAATGAAAAGAAGGGCTAGGGGGGATATGATAATTCTGAACGGTCACTAAATGAACTGTTATAAGTCAAGGACTACCTGTATTCTGAGATGAAGGAACAGGGGCTTCTGTTCCAAAGTCTGACTCTCGGTTGCCAAAAGCAGGAGCTGCAGAGTGCTGGAGTTCATCAGAAAGAGCATCTGACTTGTTTTGGCTTTTTTAAAAAAAATCTCATTAATTCATAAGCAAGGAAATAAATACACACCTTTCTGAATTTGTTTTCCAGATTAGTTCACATTTTAGTAACCACATTACTAGATGTCTGATGCAGAGAATATGATTATACCAGATGGGTGGAAGATGGCAATAGTTGTTCCCATTTATACAAAAGGGAATAAAAAGGATCCTAGTAATTATATAGGCCCATTAGTCTTATTGACCTTGTAGCAAAAATTTATGCTAGGTTCCATCTGAATAGAATTGAAATCTGGATAGAGGAAAATCATATCCTCGCAGAAGAACAAGCAGGTTTTAGATAAAATCGATCTACCATCAATAACTGCTTTGTCCTGAACCATCTAATTGCCAAATATGCCTATAAGAGGAGACCCATTTGCTGCTTTTATAGATCTTACAGCAGCATTTGATACTGTAAATAGAAAAGTACTATGGAGTAAATTGACATTTCTTAAAATAGAACCTAGATTTATAGCTTTGATTAAAGCCCTTTACACTAGTACCTGTTTGAAGGTGCAGTATGGGGTTAATGGGGCCCAAGAGGATTCACACAAACAAAGGGAAAAGAGAAGGTGTATCCTGGCCCCATTATTATTTAATCTATACATTAATGACCTGCCAGGGTTAACGAAGGATCCCATGGTACATATACTGATGATCCTAAATACATACTGTAATAGCTTGCTCTATGCTGACAATATGATCCTATTATCGT